TCCAGCAGCACCTCTAGCAACTCCAGAACCCCCAGCAGCACCTCCTGCAGCTTTAGAACCTCCAGCAGCACCAGGAGCACCCCCAGCAGGACCGCCAGTGGTAGTCTCAGCGCCAACACCCTCAGCAGCACCAGCTCCAGTGGAACCTGCAGGCCTAGCAGCTCCAGTACTCCCAGGACGAGCACCTCCGGGACCCGCGACAGCAGCACCCTCAGTAGCCAACGAACCTCCAGCACCAGCAGCACGGCTCCAGCGCCGGGCAAACCACTCGCGCAGCTCCTGTGGAGAGAGTGGCTCCCGGCGAGACGAAGCACCCGGAGCACCTCCAGGCACAGCACCCCCAGGTCCAGCACCCCTAGGCAAAGCACCCCCAGGCTCAGCACCCCCAAGCTCAGCACCCCCATGGCCAGCACCCCCAGGCCCAGCACCCCCAGGAGTAGCACCCCCACGCTCAGCACCCCCAGGCTCAGCACCCCTAGGCTCAGCACCCCCAGTAGCCAAAGAACCTCCAACACCAGCAGCACGGCTCCAGCGCCGGGCAAACCACTCGCGCAGCTCCTGTGGAGAGAGTGGCTCCCTGCGAGACGAAGCACCCGGAGAACCTCCAGGCGGAGCACCTCCAGACTCAGCACCCCCAGGCCCGGCACCCCCAGGCAAAGCACCCCCAGGCGTAGCACCCCCAGGCTCAGCACCCCCAGGCTCAGTACCCCCAGGCTCAGCACCCTCAGCAGCACCAGAGTCACCAGTGACCTCGACAGGCTCGACTGCGTCTACCTGGGACACACCTGAAGGGGCAGGACCCTGAGGGGGGAGGGGGTCTACCTTGGGGGGACCTGGTACAAGGAAGAGCGGGGGCGGGGGGAGGGACGGAGTGCGGTAGGGGAAGAGGCGGTAGTAGGGGACCGACTCGTCAAACGTGACGTCCTGGGAGGACAGAACACGGTGAGAGGTGGGGTGGTAGAACTGCCACCCAGGCGCGTCAGGGGGGAACCCCAGGAAGACGCAAGGAGCAGCACGAGGGGACAGCTTGTCCGCAGACAAGTCGCGGACAAACGCCCGAGATCCCCAGACCCGGAACGCCGACGCATTGCCAACCTTCCCCGTCCACAGCAAGGCTGGGGAGGTCTCCGGCCTGGAGACCCTGGGGTGAAGGTTGATCCGATGCGCCGCATACCTCACCGCAAACGGCCACAGAAAATGGGGGGCAGCCGCATGGATCATAGACGTACGAGCGACGTCCATGACCATGCCAATGCGGCGCTCAGCAATCCCATTTTGCTGCGGAGAGTCCGGAAGCGTGAAGGTCTGACGGATGCCCCGTGCGCGACAGTAGGCTCTCAGAAGGCCAGAGGAAAACTCTCCGCCTCTGTCCGAGTGTAGACGCAGAACAGGAAAGTCCGAGCCAAAGCTCTGCCTGAGCTGGAGACGAGCTGCGCGGATCCAGTCGATCAGCACCTCAGTGACATCACCCTTGCTGCGCAAGGGGAAGACTGCGGTGTAACGCGAGTAGTCGTCAACAACTAGCAGGAAGTAGCGCTCGTGACCCTGTCCACGAACGCGGGCTGGGCCCCACACGTCCATGTGAATCGTCTGCAACGGGGCCTCTGTCGGAGGAAACTGGGAGGAGTGAGGGGCAGCACGCTGGCGCCCCTCGACACAGGGGACACAGGTAGGGCCAGGGCCCTGAGGAAGGGGAGGGAGGGACCGGGGGAGACCAGAAACAAGAAGACGAGAGGCCATGCCTCTAAGCCGAAGCAGAGAGGGGTGACCAAGGCGGTGGTGCCAGAGGAGAGTCTCGTGAGACAGGAGACGACACGAACAGGGGGCAGACTCAGGACCAGACCTGGACGCTGCAGCAAACACCTGACCCGACGCAGCTACCCTACCAGACTCAGTAACTGGAGGAGACGCAGTGGTCAGTGTGTACAGGCTCGACCCCGGCGGACGAGTAAATGTGGCCAGGTGTCGGCCTGTCCGAGCGTCTGTGCAGTGGGTCACCCGCTGACTCGCAGGAGTGAACTGGTGAACCCCTGCATCCTGCAGGTCAGCACCACTCACCAAGTTCGTAGAGAACGAGGGGAGGTAAAGACCAGACAGGGTGCCAGAGGGGGCCGCCGAACACGGGAGGACAGTGGAGAAGTGAGCAAGGACAGGGCCCCCAGAGGGGTCTGCCAGAGAGACTGCAACTGGCCGACCAAGCGGCGTGAGTATGGTGCGGTCTCGAAAGAAGGAGCGGGAAGCCCCCGAGTCAAGGGTGAAGGTGTGAGAGGCCGGAGCCGACGCGGTACCTGAGAGAGCAGACTCACCCGCACCTGAGGAAGCAGACACACTAGCACCCAGAGCAGCAGCTGCACCAGCAGCTAGAGCAGCAGGCTCTATACCCGGGTCAGGCGGTACGCACAGGTGACCGGCACGGTCAGCACTAGTAGGCAATGCATACATGGCAGTGAGAATAGCATCATAGTCAAGAGCAAATATATCTACCCCCTGCCTAAGCAACTCCACCCAGTCGGGGAGCTCAGCCTCGTCGCCAAACTCGGTACGCCAGGCGTCGTTCAGACGGGCGAAGCAGCGGGACGGTGTATGACTAGGCGTCCCACAAGGCTGACTAGTCCGGGCACCAGTGCGAATCACGTAAGAGCAGCGAACAGAACTGAGAGACCCTCTACTCTGAGCGTACCACTCACGAAGCTGCTTGGGCGTGAGAGACGCGCGTGGGCGTCGCTGGAGCTGCATCTGGCCGCCGCCAGTAGAAGCAGGAGCATGAGTAGCAGCAGTAAGGAAGGCAAGGGCTCACCAGTGGTGGGAAGAGCAGGCTCGACGACTCGGCGACTCGCAACTCGGCGGCACGGCGGCACTGCAGTAACTGCGGCTCTGCGGCTCGGGCGACCCGGGCGGCTCGGCTGCTCGGGCGACTCGGGCGGCTCGGCGGCTCGGCGGCTCGGGTGGCTCGGGCGGCTCGGCCGGCTCGGGCGGCTCGGGCGGCTAGGGCGGCTCGGGCGGCTCGGCTGCTCTGCGGCTCGGCTGCTGGGCTGCTCAGCGGCTCGGCTACGGCTCGGCTGCTGGGCTGCTCGGCGGCTCGGTGGGGGGGGGGCGGCTCGGCAATGCAGCAGGCGACGGGCCGGGGCAGCTGCGCGGGGCCGGGACGGGCGGTGCACGGGCGGCGTGGGGCCGGGACGTGCGGTGCACGTGCGGCGTGGGGCCGGGACGGCGGCGCGCTGCCGGAACGGGTGGCGCACGGTCGGCGTGGGGCCAGGACGGGCGGCGCACGGGCGGAGTGGGGGCCGGGACGACGGCGCGGGGCCGGGACGGGCGGCGCACGGGCGGCGTGGGGCCGGGACGGGCGGCTCACGGGCGTCGACGGGCTGGAGCAGCGGCGCGCGGTCGGGACGGGCGGCGCGCGGGCGGCTAAGGGCCGGGACGGGCGGCGCGCGGGCGGCTAGGGGCCAAGACGGGCGGCGCGCGGGCGGCTAGGGGCTAGGACGGGCGGCGCGCGGGCGTCTAAGGGCCGGGATGGGCGGCTAAGGGCGGGGACGGGCGGCGCGCGGGCGTCTAAGGGCCGGGACAGGCGGCGCGCGGGCGTCTAAGGGCCGGGACGGGCGGCGCACGTACGGTTAGGGGCCGGGACGGGCGGCGCGCGGGCGGCTAGGGGCCGGGACGGGCGGCGCGCCAGAAAAGAAAGAGGCCGCGCGCCAAAGTGCAAATCGCCGCGCGCCGTAGGCGTGATTGAAAATGCGTCGCACGCCACGGGGCGTGCGACAGAGCATGTAGCAGCGGAAGCAGTAGTACCCACAGGCCGAGAGCGTAACCGCTCTAATACCATGTCAGAATCCCAACCACTAGACCATTGGGATAAAAGGGCTTGTTTCAGTAGCGGGTCAGTGCGCCCATAACCCCCCAGGCGAACGCGCCTGTAACCCCCCCTAGGATCGATCGGGGATCTCACAGTGTAGCTCTACTGACACCCCCCCACACTGGGAGGCCTAGGACTAAGCACAGCGGCACCGGCCTACATGTGCATACACCGGGAATCGAACCCGAGACCGCTCTGATACCATGTGAAAGAAACTAGAACGAGAAAAATGAATGAACTAGGAATGAAGTGAGTACATATAGGAAACCCTGATTGGGTTGTACCCCCTATGGGATACCCCACTATAGCCTACACAAATATATAAGCTATAATGTTCTGACACAGGGGACGTGACGTCAACCTATTGGCTTGGCGGCGAGGGTGCACTTGTGCCACGCCACTTGTGCATAAGCCCTGCCGAGCCATGCACCACGGCCCCCTGGACGACGCTCAACCGGGCCTGCGAGGCTCCGCCTGGCTTTTCTCTGTTGGAGGTGGACTGGCCCTTCATTTTCGCGTTCTCGTTTCTCTTTCATAGTTTAGCCCAGCTCTGTGCCTTCCGTACTCCCACCGTTTCTTCCCTTAGCCTGTAGCATCCTCGCTCTCCCGCCATGGCGTCAGACCCCAAAGCCGCCGAAGCGGCGCCGACCTCGCGCGACTTCCCCCTGTATCTAAACGTCGGTAGAGGACTTACATCCAAGTTTGAGGAACACGACTACGCCGTTCTGACAAACCCTATGCTAGAGTTTAACGCCCGTTGCTTAGGACTTGGCCTCAAGTGAGTGTCTTATGGGGAGATCGGCGTTGTCAAGTTTATTTCATACTGGTCGAGCCCTAGCGGGGATTCAAGCGACCCGTCGTTTAGGTCGACGGACTCATGGTGTAGGGTTCAGGGAAGTCGATCACATCGGTGTCGCCGACGTTAGGTGTTTGGTCGGCGTCGGCGCTGCGTTGTGCCATAGTCATTCGGCTCCCGTCGATTCACCGCTCCGTCGTGCTATTGATGCAACAGTTGTATCCGCCGTCGTCCCGAGCACCTACTCACGCACTCCTCCTAACCATGCATGCATGCAGGCACGCTTGGTTGCGCGGAACGGATGAAAACGAGCGGCTGTGGTCGATAGGAGTCGGCCGTCTTCGGGCGGCGATGGGTCAGGGCGACCACACATGCTTTGCGACGGTTTTTGACGCCGACGTGGCGGTTATCCCACTGACATCGAGGTGAGCTGGTTCGGGATCGTCCCGCTTGTGCTGCAGCCTGTGTCGGTGATCTTAACTGAGCTATATCGACGTGCCTTGTCTGTGCAGCATTGCACCGCTTCCAGGATCACATTGCAGCGTCGTTGTCATCCTGTGCCCCGGCGACTTGTTGAAGGCATCGGGCCAGAAGATCAGGACCTCGATCCGGCACGCTGACCCGCAGATGGTGAAGGAGTGGCACGTCAAAGAGGCAAAACGCGTGCTGGAGTAAGCTCAATAGTGTAGTCGACGCCGCCTGCGTAGTCAACATGCGGAGCGTGCACCATGCCAACTGACCGTCTGTGCCATGCTTATGCAGGTTTTTCCGGGCGGGTGTTATGGCCGAGCTTCGCCGGGAAGCCGTCCAAGGAGGAGGTGCATGCGAGGCTCGCCGACTGCGACGCACCCCTTCGAGATGTGAGTTTCCAACGTTCTTGTTACTATGTGGTGTCACATCCTTGCGCGATACAACCCCCGATCCGTTCTTGTGCGACGCGACTGCCGATCGGGGTGCTGATTTTTGCGCTCGCCTCTGTTGTATGCAGAAATTGCCCGACACCGTCCGGGACGAGGACGCGGGCTCCGACCTGCTAGCAATGAGCGCGTTGCTCTGAGTTGTGAGGTGGTTTGATCTCTTGACCGGCTCCCTCCGTCGCAGTGTCACCAGCATGGACAAGGTGTATGTTACGGGGATGAAGGTGCTGCAGACTGAGATGGTAACCTTCATCAAGAATCAAGTCGCGCTCATACGGTAGGGCCGATGCGTAGTTGCGGCCGACGCCTGTGACGACAACGGCGTGGAGGTTCCTTCGGCATCCCAAGCAGTAGGTGCCGCCCCCACCGTCGCTGATGCGCGTGGCACGTCGATCGGAAAGCCGGGAGGCGGCGTCAACGAGGACGAAGCGGCGGCAATAAAGGGGGTGACCGGGACCAATGAGAGGCAGCAGGACGAGGTTGGCCATGAGGATGATGATCGGGTCCATGATCTTGAGGAGGAGGGGGGCTCGGAGGAGTCGACGTCGGAGTCAGAGTCGGGGTCGGAGGAGGAGCAGGAGGCTCAGGATCAGGAGGAGCAGCAGGGGAAGCAACACGAGGAGGAGCAGGAGGTGGAGGTGAAGGACGTGGAAATGGAGGATTACGGGGCTGAAGGAGCGGCGAAAACGGGAGAGAGATCGGCGGAGGTCGAGCACGAGAAGGGGGAGGGGAAGGGTGCGTCAGCGGAGCTCGGAATGGAGAAAGTTGTCGGCGTGGAGGCGGCTCACGGGGGGAGTGGGATGGTCGTGGTCGGCGATGGGATGGACGTTGTCGACCACGAGGCCGTTGGACATGAGGATATCGCCGCGGCCACGAAGTAGACGGGCGTGGAAGTGCCTACCGATGCCACCGCAAAGAAGGCCGAGGGGGAGCGGTCTATGAAGAAGAAGTCGGCGAGCGGTCATCCCGATTCCACCGCAGCTGGGCGGCAGGCGCGGCTGGACGTCGTCGAGCAGCTGAGAGCGGAAAACAAGCGATTGCGTGCCGACAATGCACGCCTTGAACGGCAGCTCGGTGAGCAGACAGGGTGGGATGACGAGTTGGCGGCGGCCGTAGCTGGGCTCCTCGACAAGCTGAAAGATTTGACCGCCAAGGTCCCCGAAACCGACCGGAAATCAGTGGAGCGCCTCAAAGAGGCCTCGTCGACCATGGCGACCACAATCACCGACGGCCTCACCGACAACATGGACAGCGCAATTCGATCGGGCAAGTCTTTGGGCGAGCTAGCGAGGCAGATGCTACTGGATCTTGACGACCCCAACGGACGAATGGCGGTCGCGCTCGCGACCGCGGTGGACACTTTGGTCGAGCACGTGACGGCTGAGGTGGGTGAGGCGAGGAAGGGGTTGGAGGAGATGGTCATTAAATACATCAACGCTGCGCAGACCAACATTGCCACCGCCGTCTCTCCCCGCTTCGTCGTTCAGCAGCCGCCGCCGACCGCCCCAGCGCAGGCCTTGTCGGCCGAGTTCCTGAATTCCTTCAAGGAGGATGTGCTGAAGGCGGTGACGGAGACCACGCAGCAGTCCTTTCTCACCTCCGGATTGAAGATAATAATAGAGGTGGTCGGCACGGTGGCGACTGCTCGGCGTGGGTCGTCGCCGTCGGCAAACGACACCGACCAAGCGCAACCTACGGAGGCCAAGAAGCAGGGTCAGAAGAGGGGGGGAGGCGGCGGGGGGGGGGGGGGGGGGGGGGGGGGGGGGGGATAGAGACGATTTGGCGAACGTGAAGCGGAGCAAGGGAGCCGGGAGGTCTCGTCTCGCCGGCGACGGGAGCAAGGGGGCCGGAGAAGGAGGCGGCGGGGGGGGAGACGGAGACGATTCGGCGAGCGTGAGGCGGAGCAAAGGAGCGGGGGGTTCTCGCGTCGCCAGCGACGGGAGCAAGGGAGCCAGTGAAGGCAGTTCGGGGAAGCAGTCGGGGAAGAGCGTGGTCGACTTCCTCAAGAAGCACTGGGCTACTGTTTCATCGCCCAGCACGGGCCATGGTGGTGGGGGTCCCGCCGACGAGCATGCCGCTGATGACGCACGGCCAAGGGCTCCACCATCGTTGGCCAAGAAGCCACGACGAGAGGGTAGCAGAGAGAAAGGGCTGAGCGGCAAGGAAAAGGCCGCCGCCAAAACAACCGCTGGCGGTTTCGCGAAACCTGGCCAGGGGCCGACTGCCGGGGTAGCGGAGGCGTCAGCGGTTCCTCACCAGCCACCCGCGGGTGCACGCCCTCCGACCAGATCGTCTGCCGGGCGACCTGCCGACGTCCCGCGCCATGCCGACGTCCCGTCTGCCGACAAGGTTGGCCGCACGGGGAAAGTGGCGGCAGTTGCTGACGCGCTAAAGGAGCAGCTTTGGCTCCTTGCTGGCCACAAGGCTGCTCAACAGCCTCCTCCCGCTGTCGACGTCCCATCGGCCTGTTAGAGACTAAGGACGGAGTCTATGAAGATTAGGTGCCCAAATTTCTCAAAATCGTTGGTCTCAATTTCTGGACAGAAACGTCGACTTCACAAGAAACGTTGTCGGCGAACGGTGCACTGTTAGAATCCCACGAAATTCGAATATGTTGTAGCCCTAGAGGGTGGCTACATTTCCCAATTTGAATCGTATCAAAATATGAAGAATATCTAGAGTTATGCTTTTCGGCGCACTAGGGGGTATGCTGCCACAGAAATTTAACTCAATCACAATTAACTCACAAGTCCCACAAAAGAATATTAGAGTAGCACTAAACCTGGTAGGAGGGGAAGAGGAGGACGAGAGGGAAGGTCCCAAGAGAGAGTCCCCAACCAAGGAAACCCCATGCCACACAATTCCCTTCCCCATAGGCAACAAACTTTGACCTTTGTCACTTTCCAACCCATGCCATCCACCTCACCACAACTTGGCCACACTTACCAACCTGGTTTGGCTTCACCCAACCTCTTGGCAGCATCTACAGTGATGGGTTCGAATTTCCCAACCCCCACAAGTCTGTACCCCATATTGATTCAATGCCACAACTTCCCAAAGTAGCTGCAACCAAAATATATAGGCATACGAACTCCAATGTTCGTAACTTTCTTGGTTGTGCTCCGATCGCGACGATTCTTGGTTCGTCGGAAAGCTCTTGAGTAGAGGAATCACTTCAGATATCTGCTCAAGCCAAATAGCATACACACACACACACACACACACACACACACAGAAAATCCAAACCACACAAGACACAAATTTCTTGCACACGCTCACACCACGCATGCAACGCACAAACACATGATGGGAGGCAGACAGACGTGAATGCATATGGTTGCATCACACAACACGGCCAGTGTGCCACGCGTGGTGCCGGTTGTCGCCGCTCGTACTCCTGCAGACCCAAAGTCCGCATTGCTGCGCACCCAGTTGGGCGCACTAGCGTCGACTGCGCCAACTCAGCAGGCATCTGGCTCTGGCGCTATGCCGTCGTCGGGGAATGTCGCACCACCCACCCCTGTGGCAGCTGAGGTTGAGAAAGCGGCGGAGAAGGGCGTTCGTGCCGCAATTGCCACCGGCGGCGGCCCTGTTGAGGAGGTCCCCCCCGACGCGGATATCGCTGCCATACAGGCCCATCTGGATGCCGCCAAACCCCGAACACTGGCCATCTCCGACACGACACACGTGGAGCCTTCGGCGGGTTCCGTCGGCAGTTCAGCAGAGCCTAGTGTGATCAATGATGCTGTCGGTGAAGGAAAGGCGAAACGGAAGGGGAAGGCGGGCTCACAGAGGAAGACGCGGGAGAGGTCGGAGGTGAAGGCGGCGGATAGAGGGAAGGCGAAGGCGGCGGAGACAGTGGCCGACAAAGATGGTGGCGGCAATACGGGGGTGAAAGGGAAAGCGGGGGAGAATCAGGAGAAGTCGCTCGGCGAGGGGTACGTCGATGGGAAGGAAGGGGAAGGACAAGTCGGTCGGAGAAGGTACGTCGACGGGGAGAATGGGGAAGGAGAAGGCGGTCGGCGATGCTTCGTCGAAGGGGAGAAAGGGAAAGAAGAAGGCGGAGGAGGAGGATGAGGAGGTCGAGGAGGTGGAGGAGGTAGAGCATGAGGAGGAAGAGGAGGAGGAGGAGGAGGAGGAGGAGGAGGAGGAGGAGGAGGAGGAGGAGGAGGAAAAGGGCAAGGAGAGGAGGGGTCATGGCATCCGACACGACAGCTTGGGCGACGGGCTAGGGTGGGTCGGCGAGATTAAGGTGCATGGCATCAATCGATACATCAGCAAGTCGCATGACAAGATGGAGCTCGCGTACGTGCACTCCATCGCGTTCGTCGTATACGACGGTTTCGTGAGCAAGGTGCTCGTGTCCGAGCTCACCGTCTTGGACAGCGCCGAATTGGAGAGGTGGAAGGAGGTGTGGGAGGAGGTCAAGATCTTGCCGACAGGGATGTGGACGGTGATGTGGGCCCGTGGTACGCTCCTTCCAAAGACATGGTAAGTCGGTTATTCTCCGCCCCCAAGTCGACACATGGTGATGATGTCGTTGTCGTGGTCACTATGCCATGTTTGCTGTGCTGGCGTGACAGGCTGAATGATATCCTCGACAAGTACAAGGCCTCAGGCGATGCTCTCCACGCCGCGCTCCTGCCAGCGATATGGTAATCAGACGATGCCAACACCGAGGATGGCCAGGAGAAGTCGGCGTCTACGATGTCGGCGATGATAGGTCGCGTGTCCATGTGCGCTGCGTATGGGAAGATCGCTGCAAACGCGGCGAAGGAGGGAGACAAGGAGGAGAAGACGGATATGGCGGCATGGGCTTTAGCAGCGTCCGCATGCGCTGTGTGGTGCTTCGTCGAGATCGGCGACGCCCAGGTGGCGGGTGGTGTGGAGGAAGGGAAGGCGGCAGCGCTTGTGGGCGGAGCAAGGTAGGCGACTGCCGATGTATTCGGAACTATCATGGAGGCGGTGCTGAACGTCGAGATCAACAGGGACCGCCTCCTGGGAGAGGTTGCTTACAACGTCGCGCCAGCGCTGCAGAGGCACGCCCTTGACAAGGTCTACCCGGGGGGGAATGCTGGCGTCGATGCCGACGTGGTCGCTAGAGCCACGGTCGAGACCATGGCGTTCAAGGGAATGTGCCCCGTCGCCGGGCCGAAACTCAAAGCGAAGGGTATCGCAGTGCTATGCGACGCGCAGATGAAGGCCGATCTTGACAACAGGGGGAGGAAGGGTCAGAGGGGCAAGAAGGGGACGAAGGCCAAGGGCGGCACGGGGAAGAAGGGGACGAAGGCCAAGGACAGCGCGGGGAAGAAGGGCCAAAAGGGGACGAAGGCAAAGGACAGCACGGCGGCGTAGTCGGCGGGCTTCTGGAGCGAGAAAGGTTGCCGACTTGCTAGGATTCATTGCTGCTAGGATTTGGTTCTGCTATGGTCGATGTCGTTTTCTCTGTGTCGGCTGTCAGATTGCTGGGAGCTCGTTTATTTGTGTGTTTTTTTTTGTGTGACTGCTTGTGTCAGGCATATATACTATAGTCTGTGTAGGCTGTAGTGGGGCAGTTCATATGGGGTACAACACTTTAGGGTTCACCACTTGTACTCCTCATTCTGCTCAATGCACTCATTCTCGTTTCTCATCATGGTATCGAGTAGGTTCCCTAGTGGGAACGCTACCTAGGGCCCACCACGATACCTTTTTTTTTCTGCCCGGAGCGCGCTTCACTCCTGCCCAAGTCGCGCTCTGTGTGCCCTCCCTACCTTCGAGCCGCCCTTAGTGACCCCTCTCACGGCCCCTTTGGCCGCCCTTACAGCCCCTCGCACCGCCCTTACGGCCCCTCGCGCCGCCCTTACGGCCCCTTAAGGCCCCTCGCGTCGCCCTTACGGCCCTCGCGCGGCCCCTTTTGGCCCCTCGCGGCGCCCTTTTCGGCCCCTTACGGCCCCGTCTAGGCCCCTTACGGCCCCTCCGCGGCCCCGTCTAGGCCCCTTGCGGCCCCGCTATGGCCCCGTCTAGGCCCCTTACGGCCCCTCCGCGGCCCCGTCTAGGCCCTTTGCGGCCCCGCTACGGCCCCGTCTAGGCCCCTTACGGCCCCTCCGCGGCCCCGTCTAGGCCCCTTGCGGCCCCGCTACGGCCCCGTCTAGGCCCCTTACGGCCCCTCCGCGGCCCCGTCTAGGCCCCTTGCGGCCCCGCTACGGCCTAGTCTCGGCCCCTTACGGCCCCTCCTCGGCCCTGTCTAGGCCCCTTGCGGCCCCGTCGCCGCCACGTGCGGCCCCGTCGCCGCCACCAGCGGCCCCGTCGCCACCACCTGCGGCCACGCAGCCGCCACCTACGGCCTCGCCGCCACCTACGGCCCCGTCGCCGTCACCTGCGGCCCCGTCGCCATCCCCTAGCAGCCCTCTCACCGCTCAGCCGCCCAGCAACCGAGCCGCCGAGCCGCCCTGCCGCCGAGCCACCCAGCAGCTGAGCCGCCCTACCGCCGAGCCGCCCAGCAGCCGAGCCGCCCAGCAGCCGAGCCGCCCAGCAGCCGAGCCGCCTAGCAGCCGAGCCGCCCTGCCGCCGAGCCGCCGAGCCGCCCAGCAGCCGAGCCGCCCTGCCGCCGAGCCGCCGAGCCGCCCTACTGTCGAGCCTCTGCTGTTCCTACCGGTACTCCGCGGCCCTCCTTCCTCCGACTGGTGAGCTCACTTCCTGCTAGGCCATTGCAATCATGGCTACCCCCAGTGTCCTTACTTTTGATGTTGAGGGCCGTGCAGTTGACTTTGAGGTCTGGGTCGATGACCTCCAGCTGTTTCTCCAGTGCGATAGGGCAGACGGACTCTCTCTGTTCGATCTCACCTCTATTGTCTCTCCTCCCCCGCTTGCCACTGCTGACAGCACTGTTCGCTCACAGTGGGCCACACGCGATGCTTCTGCTCGCCTTGCTGTGCGTCGCCACTTACCGACCACTAAGCGTGCACACTCTAGCCAGTACAAGAGTGCTCAGACCTTGTACGACGCTGTGTTGCACGCTACTCTTCCCCTGCCACTGCTGCACTTAGCCGCCTCATGCTACCGTACCTCTTCCCTGACCTTGCTGCCTTTCCCACAAACGCTGACCTCATTACGCACCTCCGCACTAGTGACACTCGCTACCGCGCTGCGCTTCCTGCTGAGTTCTGCGCCAAGAACCCCCCCCCCCCCATGTACATCACCCTCTACTACATAGTCACACGGCTCCCTGACTCTCTTCGCGTAGTCAGGGACCACTTCCTCTCAGTTTGCCCCACCACTCTCACCGTTGACCTCCTCGAGAAGGCCCTCCTAGCAGCAGAGAAGAGCATAGTCGCTGTAGGAGCCTCTCGTGGTGACCCTTGCACCCCCGTCTTTGAGGGGTGTTCCCCCTCCCCCCTCTTGCCCTCTGTTGCTTCTGCTGCTGCGGCCGACCTCGTTTGTTTCGAGTCGGTTGGCGCTGCGTCTGCCCCTAGTTGGAGACGCCGCACCGGCAAGGGCAAGGGGGGCAAAGGCGCTGGAGGGGCTGGCGGGGGCGGTGGAGGTGGTGGTGGAGGCAGTGGAGGGGGTGGGGGTGGTGGTGGGAGTGGTGGCGGGGGTGGAGGTGTCGGTGGCAGCAGTGGAGGCGGAGGAGGTGGTGGCGGAGGCGGAGGGAGCGGAGGCGGCGGAGGTGGTGGAGGCGGCGGAGGCAGCGGAGGTGGCGGAGGCGGCGGCGGCGGCAGTGGACCTGGTCGCAGCTCTGCGCAGAGGAGTTGCTCCGGTGGAGGTACGCGCCAGCAGCAGCAGCAGCGCAGTCGTGAGACCCTGTCCCCTCAGCAGCTTCGTGGGTGGTACTCTGCGCGTCTGCGCAATGGGGGTACGGGTCCCTGCACCTACGTTCCCCGCACCGGCGACCGCGCTGGTGAGCAGTGCGGGGGCCCGCACTCCACCGAGCGCTGCTTCGGCCGCCTGACGGACGCGTGGCGTCACCAGTTCCCTAAGGCCTCTAAGATCCCTCGCTGGGGAGAGCTGTCTAGAGAGGGGGTTGCTACCTTCGATCTTGACTTCGATGCTATTCTTGCTGCCATGTATGCTGTTGCTGATAGTGTTGAGGGTGACTGTTACCTGTGTGTTCCGCCTGACCCGGGCATTGAGACTGCTGCTCTAGGTGCTAGTGAGGCTGGTGCTCTAGGTGCTTGCCCGTCGGCTGCCCAAGTGCGGGTGAGTCTGCCCTCTCAGGTACCACGTCGGCTCAGGCCTTACACACCTTCACCCTTGACTCGGGTGCTTCCCGCTCCTTCTTTCGAGACCGCACCACACTTACGCCGCTTAGTCGGCCGGTTGCGGTCTCCCTGGCGGACCCCTCTGGAGGTCCCGTCCTTGCTCGTTTCTCCACTGTCTTACCGTGTCCGGCAGCCCCCTCTGGCACCCTGTCAGGTCTCTACCTCCCCTCGTTCTCTACAAACTTGGTGAGTGGCGCTGATCTACAGGATAGAGGGGTTGACCAGTTCACTCCTGCGAGTCAGCGGGTGACGCACTGCACGTGTGCTCGGACAGGCAGACACTTGGCCACGTTCACCCGTCGGCTGGGGTCGAGCCTGTACACCCTCACTACTGAGTCTCCTCCGGCTGCTGAGCCTAGTCAGGTCGCTGCGTCGAGTCAGGTGTTTGCTACAGCGTCCAGGTCTACTCCCGAGTCTGCTCCCTGCTCGTGTCGTCTCCTGTCTCACCAGACTCTCCTTTGGCACCACCGCCTTGGTCACCCCTCCCTGCCTCGTCTCCGAGGCATGGCCTCCCGTGTCCTTGTCTCTGGTCTCCCCCGGTCTCTCCCTCCTCTACCTCCGGGGCCTGCCCCTACCTGCGTCCCCTGCGTCAAGGTGCGACAACGCGCCGCCCCTCACTCCTCCGAGTTTCCTCCGACAAATGCTCCGTTCCAGACTCTTCACATGGACGTGTGGGGCCCCGCACGCGTTCGTGGCCAGGGTCACGAGCGTTACTTCCTGTTGGTGGTTGACGACTACTCGCGTTACACCACAGTCTTCCCCTTGCGCAGCAAGGGCGACGTCACTGAGGTGTTGATCGACTGGATCCGCGCAGCTCGTCTCCAGCTCAGAGAGAGTTTCGGCTCCGACTTTCCTGTTCTGCGTCTGCACTCTGACAGAGGCGGGGAGTTTTCCTCTGCCCGTCTAGGAGCCTTCTGTCGTGCACAGGGCATCCACCAGACCTTCACGCTTCCGGCCTCTCCACAGCAAAATGGGATTGGTGAGCGCCGCTTGGCATGGTCATGGACGTCGCTCGTACGTCTATGATCCATGCAGCGGCCCCCCATTTTCTGTGGCCGTTTGCGGTTCAGTACGCGGCGCATCAGCTCAACCTTCAGCCCCGGGTCTCCTTGCCAGAGACCTCCCCCACCTTGCGGTGAACGGGGAAGGTTGGCGATGCGTCTGCATTTCGTGTCTGGGGATCTCGGGCGCTTGTCCGCGACTTGTCTGCAGACAAGCTGTCCCCCCGTGCTGTTCCCTGCGTCTTCCTTGGCTTCCCCCCTGACGCGCCTGGTTGGCAGTTTTACCACCCCACCTCGTGCCGTGTTCTGTCCTCCCAGGACGTCACCTTTGACGAGTCGGTGCCTTACTACCGTCTCTTCCCCTACCGCGCCGCGCCCCTTCTTCCGCCGCCGCTCTTCCTTGCACCAGGTCCTCCCCTGGTAGACCCCCTCCCCCCTTAGGGTCCTGCCCCGTCAGGTGTGTCCCAGGTAGACGCAGTCGAGCCTGTCAAGGTAGCTGTTGACTCTGTTGCTGCTAGTGGTGCTGAGCCTGCGGGTGCCGGGTCTGGGGGTGCTGAGCCTGGGGGTGCTGAGTCTGGGGGTGCTGAGTCTGGAGGTGCTGAGCCTGGGGGTCTCGAGCCTGGGGGTGCGGAGCGTGGGGGTGCGGAGCCTGCGGGCGCTGGGTCTGCTCGTGTGGCCGCCGGCGGAGCTTCATCGAGGCGGGAGCCACTCTCTCCACAGGAGCTGCGCGAGTGGTTTGCCCGGCGCTGGAGTCGTGCTGCTAGAGCTGGAGGTACTACTGTTGCTACTAGTCCGGGAGGTGCTCGTACTGGCGGTGCTGGAGCTGCTGAGCCTGGGGGTGCTGGTGGGGCTGCTGGAGTTGGTCCTGCAGGAGCTGCTGGCGGTACTGGAGCTGCCGGTCCTGCTGGAGTTGGTGCTGCTGGAGCTGCTGGAGCTGCTGGAGCTGGAGCTGCTGGGGGTGTTGGCGCTGGTGGTTCTGCTGGCGCTGGTGCGTCTGAGGGTGCTGGAGTTGGCGCTGTTGGAGCTGGAGGTGCTGCTGGCGCTGGTGCTGCCACTGGGGGTACTTGTGCTGTCCCTGCTGGTTTTGGAGGCGCTGCGCAGCCGCGGCCGTACTTCGTTCCGCTCCTTGAGCAGGTTCTTGGTCTCCCGCCTTCTACTGGTCCTGCTCCTCCCCTAGAGTGTCCACAGCCTGTCCAGTCGCAGTCACAGTTACAGCCTGCCTCCCCTCTATCTGCTCCTTCTCCCTACACTGGTCCTACTGGAGGTCTTGCTGAGCGTCGTGAGCCTGCGTCTCGTCCTGCGTCACCTAATCGCACTGCTCGCACTAGTCGTCTTGTTCCCCGTCCGCGTCCTCCTGCGGTTCCGGGCACACACCAGATGGCACTGCGTCCTTCCACTGCTCCCCTTCGTGTCCCGTTGCCGTCTCCTCCAGAGTCCTCTCTTCTTGTCCTTGCTGACCCTGAGTCTGACTCTCTTCGTGCTGCCAGTCCTACTGTCACGCGTCTCCTGGCTACTGGTATCACTGACCCTTCCTTTGAGTCCACTGCTGCGTCTGCCTTAGTGGCTGAGCTTGTTGACTTCGCTGCATTGTCGCCGAGGACCTCTAGAAATGCACGGCGGCAATGTCGGCGTCGGACCCCTTCTTAGCGAGCTCTTCCGCCTGCAATTAGACAACGGAAGTGGGTGGTCACGTCGATCGGAAGGACGATACCATGCGAGGAATGGTCGGCACCGATAAAAATACCTTCTTAAGGAGGTCGTCCACGCCGAGGAATATGTGCTCGGCGATGAGATCCAGGAGTTCGGACGTGGGTTCCACCCTGCTGCGACCCTAGAAGTAGTCCTGCGTGAAACCCGAATAGCCGGCCTTCTTCATCACCACGCCGACGGGAATGGCTGTGATGTAGGCTCGAGTCATCTTGTCGATAGCCCAGTGACCCAGCTCGGCTATCTCGGCGCGAGACGTACCGTCGATGGCCAGCTCCTGCACCCCGCCTGCATGAGCGGCATGGACGTTCCGCTTGCAGAACACCCCGTTCGTCTTCCACATCTGCCTCGTCCATCGCTGGTGGCTGGGAGCTGGGAGTTCGTGCTGCTCAGGGTCATTGCGGGCAAAGAAAAGGTGCTTCTTGTACCAGCGCTCGCGTGTGCTGGTGTCGACCGGCGGAATGAGGTCGACGCCGTGAAACTGGCCGATCTGGTCGAGGATGAAGTGTAACCACAGGCCGGTCTCACCGACGGCGCACAACTCCGCCTCGAGGTGCCGCGCCGCGTAGCTCTGCTGAAGACGCGCATCCTTCGACGTCTTCGAGTTCCGCGCGGCTACCACCATGACGACCGGCTGGTTATTCGAGTTCACCGAGGAGGTGCTCGCCAATCGGTACAAGAAGATGTCGGGGAGCGTTATCTCGCGGATGCTTGCACCGCGCATGAGGCTGTGGTGGGAGAGTAGCGTGAGCACCTTGACGAGAAGAAACCTCCACAGCGTCTGCGAAGGAGTGGTAAACGGCGGGCACCATGCCGACGCCGCCCAAGTCGGCAGCACCCTCGTCATGTTCGGCGGTGTACGTGCCGCCGATGGTGCCGCGTCAAGGTCGGCGCAATCACTGTTGACAGAACAACATAGGGATACGATTATTAGGGCGAGGACCACAAATCGATGGCGATAGAACTCGGCGCTGTATGCCAACTTACTTGATGTCCCTCTAATTTTTGGTGCGGATCATGACCCGCACCTCCGAGCGGACCACCGAGATTTCCCGCATGATGCCCAACTCCTTCTCCTTGTAGAGCGTCGCCTCCACCCTCACCGCCATCTGGCAGGCCTTAATACGGCCGAGGATCATGTGCACCGTGTAGGCTTGCACTGGCGCGTTCGTTTCGGCGTCGATCTTGTACTCCCGCCTCAGGAACTTGATGTAGGCGCGCAGCCGCGTAATAGTGACCCGGGGGCCGTGCAGCCAGATGTGCTTCCGTTTGACCACCTTCTCGCTGTCCCAATCCTTGTTCTTGTTGTTGTGTGTCCAGTGCCCGATCTCGTCGACGTGCCTCGTTTGTTCCTCTGCCGACAGCTTGTCGCCTATTTTTTTAAGCATCTTCGCCGCCCACCTCTTGTAGTGGTAAATCAATGAGGTGTAGGACTTGAGGGTGCTCTTACCCTCCATCACGAGCACATCGACGCACGCGTACACCATATCTTCCTCTACAAAGTCGGCCGCCTTCCACAGTTCTCGAGGGACCGACGTGTGCAACAGATCCTCAAGCTCGTCCTCATCCAACAGTTCCTCTATGAACGCACGTTCCCCCTTGAGTTTTTCTTCCAACGTGCGCGGACCTGCACCACATCGGGGCCGTGGGTCGTCTTCGTCGTCCTCGTCGCTCGCCGATGAGTAGTCTTCCTCATCCTGGTCGCCTGATTCGTCCGGCACCGACGACGGTCCCGCGTCCCCTGCACCCGTCGGTGCCGACGTTTTGCGGGATTTTGTAAACTCCCCTATGGGCGCGGGCGGAATGTCTTTGGTGAATTCTCCCACCGGGATTTGGGCCAGGGCGTCGAGATCGTAAAGCAGCGGCAACGTCGATGAGGGGTTACTGGTCGGTGTACGGCCTACCGGGCGGACATCACCACCCGGGCTAGTAGGGTTCGGAACGTCCGTCATGTCGACGTCGGCGGGTGGTGGGTTGGATTGCGGCTGTGTCGCGTGAAGGTGTTGGGTGGTACGTCCTCTGGCCATGGGACGGTGATCTAGGTAGCAACTCAGGTGTCTTGTACTCTGAGTTGCTCTTCTGTGGCACCTGCTTTCAAAGTCTTGAACAAAGTTCAACCTGATTGATTACCCAAGCAGCTTGGGTACTCTTCATCTCTCCAACACTCATACCTGCCTGCCTTGTCTTGTCTTACGATCTGCCCTTCTTTCTCCCCTGCAGCATGCCCCTCAGGATCTCCTCCCGTTCATGTCCAGACGTGATCGCTATCGCTCATCGCTATCGTGAGAGTCGCCAGGCACTTGACATTAACCGCCACTCATCCCCTCATTCCATCAGTTGTTATCCCGACAGCAGGGCAGTGCAGCATCCAGCTCTTCCTTGTCAATCCCCCTCCGCTCCCAACACCTCCTTCTCCTTCCCCCTCTGCTCTCAATCAACCCCTCCATAGTCCATCATCCCCCCCCGTCTTTTCTCTCCATCACTGCTAGCCAACGACTTTGTGGTAGCAGCATTGAACCCTTCTCTTGTTAAATGGATATTTTCTGTTCTTCCTTTGTCCCCTCCATCTTTCCGCTTTGCGCTCTCTCCGTCAGCTGTTAGCCAAAGACTATGTGGCAGCAGGGCTGTGCAGCAATCAAGTTTTGCATGTTAATTTCGGTATCTACTGGCCTTCAAGTCCAATCTTCCGTGTTCACTCTTCTCTCCTCCGCTGTCTCTATTTGCTGTTAGCCAGAGCGGAGACTACGCGACAGCAGGTCTCTGCAGCACTCAAGCCTTGCTTGTCATACCCAGCTGTTTGCGCCTTCTTCCCGCCACACTCTCCCTGCTCCATCCTCCCCTCGTCTTCCTCTCTCACTTTTTAGCCGGGTTCTGAAGCATGCAGCTCTTCCTTGTCAATCCCACAGCTTGCCTCCTTCTCTTTTCCCCGCCACTCTCACCCCCTCCGACCGGCCCCCTTCTTCTCCCTGCATCAGTCTTTACTCGCCCGATCTTTGCACCGCAACAGCACACCTGCAGCAGGCACAGGTGGGTTGGAGCTATTGCATCAGTTCCTCCCACACGCCCCGTGCGTCCCGTTCCACCCACCCCTTTCTTGAGCTGCTCGTTGGAAAGGGATCGGAGGCTAGACAGAATGCAGCAGTAGACCTGGCAGCGTTGGTCGGCCCTCTTGCTGCCGGCAAGACACTCAACTTCTCTGCCACTTCCTCTTCCTCCGCTGCTACTGGCACTTCTGGTGCAGGTGGTACTGGTGCAGGTGGTACTGGGGCAGGCGTAGCTGCTGTAGGAGGAGTAGGTATATCTGGAGCAGCAGCAGGTGCCAGCAGCAGTGGTGGCAGTAGCAGCAACACCAGCAGCAGCACTAACAGCAGCAGAAGCAGCAGCACTGCTGCCAGCACAGCTGCCAGCCTGGCATTAATAAGCAAGCAGGGGCGGCGACAACAAATATCTCGGACGAGGATCTTTTTCCAGCTGCAGCGGTTGGTAGAGGTGCAGGTGGAGGTGGTGCGGGTGGTGGGGACGTGCAGTGGGAGGGAGGGCAGCGGCGTGCCTCTGGTCTGGTGGGGGCTGCCAGGAAGGTGTCTTGGAGTGTGGCTCTGTTTGGTGCTCCCAGTGATGGCCGGACCAGCAAGTAAGTGCGTGTTTGGGAGAGGGTTTGAGGGAGTGTGTGAGGGTGGTGGGGGTGTGCAGTAGGAGGGACAGCAGCGGTGTGCCTCTGGTGGGGGCTGCCAGGAAGGCCCCCCGTGGAGCGTGGCTCTCTTTGGTGCTCCCAGTGACGGCAGAACCAGCTCGTGAGTGTTTTTGGGGAGACTGTGTGCATGCGGGTTTGTGGGAAGGTGTGTATTTCTCGCCAGTATCGGCTGCAGCGGTTGTTTCCAGTCGTGCATATCTAACTACCAGCCGAAGCGCAATATTCCTCTCCCCATACTCCTCACCTAATGATAGGCGGCGTGTTGAAGTGACCAAGTTCCTGGTGACCGAATTCGACCTGGCGCTGGAGGTGATCAACTCCCTGCACCTGCGAGCCATGCACATCCACGCCAGCTTGCATCTGGTGACCGATACTCTGGTTGCCCCTCTTCCCTATCCCCCACTGAGAGACGATGTGAGGAGGTTACAGAGTTTCTTTTGGGAGACAATTTGACCTGGCATTTGAGGTGATCCTGCACCTGCCAGCCGTGCAGATCCTAGCCAGCATGGCAGCCTCGCTGGCGGAGAAGTAGCACCGCGTGCTGTTCGAGGGGCAAATGGATCGGATCAAGTATATGCTGCCGCCCGCTGACATGGATGAGGTGAGAAACGCAATGTGTAACAACTGAAGTGAAAACTTGCTCAGGAGTTGAGATACGTGGGTGAGTCATTCTTGGGGAGTGTCTGTGAGGTGCATCAACCATCTCGTGGGGCTCAACCGTCTCGTGGGGCTCAACCGTCTCGTGGGGCTCAACCGTCTCGTGGGGCTCAACCTCTCGTCAAACTTTGCTTCACCCAACCCTGTCTCCAAACCTCACTCTACCCAACCCGGTCCCAAACCTCAACCCTGTTTCCAAACCTCGCTCCATGTCAGATTTATATGACTTAGCTGGTGTAGGCTATAGTGGGGTAGCACATATGGGGTACAGCTTTCTAGGGTTTGTACTTGTACCCAACTTTCCCTTAGTCTTTTCATTCTCGTTCAATTTCACATGGTATAGAGCAGGTTCCCCTGTGGGAACTGTTCCTAGGGCCCACCGATTTTTTTTTCCTGCCCGGAGCGCGCTCAGCCTCAGCCCGAGTCGCGCTCCCCTCTCACGACCCCGTCGCGCCGCCCTTACAACCCCGTCGCGCCGCCTTAGCGGCCCCGTCGCGTCGCGCCTCCCTAGCGGCCCCATCGAGTCGCCCTTGCGACCCCGTCGCGCCGCCCTCGCGGCCCCATCACGTCGCGCCGCCCTCGCGGCCTCGTCGCGCCGCCCACGCGGCCCCGTTCCGCCGCCCTCACGGCCCCGTCGCGTCGCGCCGCCCTTGCGGCCCTTTTGCGCCGCCCTCGTGGCCTCTTCGAGCCGCCCTAGCGACCCCTCCAGCCGCCCTCGCAGCCCCGTCGCCTACCCTTGCGGCCCTGGCGCCGCTCTTCTGGCCCCGGCGCCGCCTCTGCTGGCCCCGTCGCCCCACCCTTGCGACCCCACGGCCCCACCCTTAAGGCGTCGGTCGCCACCCTTCGTGGCCCCGCCACCGCCCTCAGCGGCCTTGTCGCCGCCCCACCCGGCCCCGCCGCCGTCCCTTCAGCGGCCCTGCCACCCTACGAGGAGGTGGAGCTGGTCGGGGTGGCGCTGCGCAGAGGGTCGGCTCCAGTGGTGGTCAACGCCAACAGCAGCAGCGAACTCGTGAGGTCCCCCCCCCTCAGCAGCTTCGTGAGTGGTACGCTGCACGCCAGCGGGGTGGGGTTACTGGTCCGTGCACCTACGTCCTGCGCACCGGCGACTGCGCGGGTGAGCCGTGCGGGGGTGCGCACTCCACCCATTGCAACTTTGGCCGCCTGACGGACGCTTGGCATCACCAGTTTCCTGAGGCCACTGAGATCCCTCGCTGGGGCGAGCTGTCTAGGGCGGGAGTAGCTATCTTTGACCTTGACTTTGATGCTATTCTTGCTGCCATGTATGCTGTGACTATTAGTGATGAGGGTGACTGTTACCGGTGTTTTCCGCCCAACCCGGGCATTGGGACTGCTGCTCTAGGTACTGGTGAGACTGCTGCTCTAACTGCTAGCGAGGCTGCTGCTCTAGGTGCCAGTGGATCTGCTTCCTCAGGTGCTGGTGAGTCTGCTCTCTCAGGTATTGCGTCGGCTTCGGCCTCCCACACCTTCACCCTTGACTCGAGGGCTTCTCGCTCCTTCTTTCGAGACCGCACCACACTTACACCGCTTGGTCGGCCAGTTGCAGTCTCTCTGGCAGACCCCTCTGGGGGTCCTGTCCTTGCTCACTTCTCCACTGTCCTCCCGTGTCCGGCGGCCCCCTCTGGCACCCTGTCTGGTCTTTACCTACCCTCGTTCTCTACGAACTTGGTGAGTGGTGCTGACCTACAGGATGCAAGGGTTCACCAGTTCACTCCTGCGAGCCAGCAGGTGACCCACTGCACGGACACTCGGACAGGCCGACACTTGGCCACGTTTACACGTCGGCCGGGGTCAAGCCTGTACACACTGACCACTGAGTCTCCTCCAGTCACTGCGTCTGGTCAGGCAGCTGCGTCGGGTTAGGTGTTTGCTGCAGCGTCGAGGTCTGGTCCTGAGTCTGCCCCCTGTTCGTGTCGCCTCCTGTCTTACAAGACTCTCCTCTGGCACCACCGCCTTGGTCACCCCTCCCTGCCTCGTCTCCGAGGCATGGCCTCCCGTGTCCTTGTCTCTGGTCTTCCCCGGTCCCTCCCTCCCCTTCCTCCTGGGCCTGGCCCTACCTGCGTCCCCTGTGTCGAGGGGTGGTAGCGGGCTGCCCCTCACTCCTCCCAGTTTCCTCCGACAGAGGCCCCGCTGCAGACGCTTCACATGGACGTGTGGGGCCCGGCCCGCGTCCGTGGACAGGGTCACGAGCGCTACTTCCTGTTGGTGGTTGACGACCACTCGCGTTACACCACAGTCTTCCCCTTGCGCAGCAAGGGTGATGTCACTGAGGTGTTGATCGACTGGATCCGCGCAGCTCGTCTCCAGCTCAGGCAGAGCTTCGGCTCGGACTTTCTTGTTCCGCGCCACCCTCTACGGCCCCTTGCACCGCCCTTACGGCCCCTTAAGGCCCCTCGCGTCGCCCTTACGGCCCTCGCGCGGCCTCTTTCGGCCCCTCGCGGCGCCCTTTCCGGCCCCTTACGGCCCCGTCTAGGCCCCTTACGGCCCCTCCGCGGCCCCGTCTAGGCCCCTTGCGGCCCCGCTACGGCCCCATCTAGGCCCCTTACGGCCCCTCCGCGGCCCCGTCTAGGCCCGTTGCGGCCCCGC